TCGGGTAGTAGATAGAGCATGGAAAAAACTTTCATTCGATTTAGATCTTCTCTCAAAGGGCTACGTAATACTGATGTTATTAACAATACAGCAAAAGTAGAAAGGGCTTTTTTTACGTGCACTTTTGGAAGTTGGTAGACTAGCGTTTGCAATATCTGTCAATATTTTCAAGACACAAATATTAATGAGGTTCTTATCCATTACGGTGTGCAGTAAACCATTGCATAAAAGCCTCCTTCACGAGTTGTTAATTAACAAATATCACCCTTTTTGCCGGCTTCCATTTGTCGATACCAAGACCTACGCCACGTCACGCCGAGTGACGCTAATGAATATGCTAATATGCCCATCATCATTGTGAGCCGTGCCGGGCCGAAATCGGTCAGCCGTAGCGCCTACGGCGCTTTGCGAACAATGCACATGGGTTGGGTCGGCAATTAATTTTTGATCGTCTTCGAAATTTTCTTTAGAGATGGTTCAAAGTTTAACACTAGTGTCCGCAATAACAGATTAAGCTGAAATTCGGAATTGCTTAGATGATATAAGTGTTCAACTCCTCGTGATATAAAAACTTCGGTAACTTCCTAGAATTTATGTAATTACATACATTTGGGAAAGTTTTCGAACGATTTCTTCCAGACTTGAAGGTCAGCTATAACAGTAACCAGTATTGACGTGAAGCTAAGAATTTCTTCTTCATTTAGAATGTAACATTTCATTCATACCGAGCATATTTTCTGAGAAACACGACGTTCAAAAAGGCCATGTTTTGGGGGGTTCACGAATTTCAATGCTCTGTTACAGTGTCTTAGTACGTAATCGGATTAGCTTTCTCTGACAACGACCGACGCTTTGCCGTAGCAACCATATGGCTGCCATTGGTCGATACTAAGACCCACGCCAAAACACGCCGAGTGACGCTAATGAATATGCTAATCTACCATACCCGGTCAACCGTAGCGCCTATGGAGCTTTGCTGAGCAATGCAGGTCGGTTGTGTCAACAGAAAATCCTCGTCGAAATTTTCCATGGAAATGGTTCTAGTTGGTATACTAGCATTTGCAACAACAGATTAAGCTGAAATTCGGAATATTCTTAGATGATATAAGTGTTGAACTACTCGTGAATTAACAACTTGGACAGATTCCTAGAAATTGAGGTTAATACATGCATTTGGGGAAGTTTTCGAACGATTTCTTCCAGACTTGAAGGTCTGCTTTACCAGTAACCAGTATTGACGTTTCGGCATCGATGACCGAGATTTTTTTTTCTCTGACATGAAGTTTAGAATGTCGTCTTCCGTAATAATTTAACATTTCAATCACACTGAGCATATTTCTGAGTAACATAACGTTCAAAATGCCATATTTTTTTTGGGGGGCGCATGGATTTCACTGCTCTATTGTAGCGTCTCATCGGATTAGCTTTGCCTAACAATGCCAGAAGATAATGCCTAGCAACCACATGACTGTTTCAATACAAAATAACTCCAAAAAATGGATGGCAAATAATTTCATCAATTTAAGAGGAGTAGAAAAATGCACAAAATATGTTCACCGGTAACATTCGTTTCGTGGGCCCTTTTCAGTAGGCTTGTTATATTTTGGTAGTTATACTTATACCAAAACAATGTAATCATTTGGACATATATGTAGATCACGGGCTTCGGTAGTGGTGTATCTAAGGGAAAAGTGCACACACGTCCCACTAGAGGCATGTGCCTTACGTGCGTTCCTCACCAGCTCAGAATTCAGAGGAGGTTAAGAGAAGGGTGTTTTTATTAATTGGCAAAAACCCTTGAGTTTCCCACTCCAGAAAACGCAAATTGGACCCCAGTCACGTCACTGTCATACTTTCTTTTTCAATCCCCTCGTCAAAGTTTTAGTTTTTCTGTTTCTTCATCGGTCACAAACTGAAGCCAGTTACAGTTGAATTAGCAGCAACACATTTCTGTTAATCACATTTCTGTTAAAATATAAAATACTTACAATTTTGAAAAGTGCATGGAGAGAGTTTATTTCCAAAGTAAACTCCGAAATTGTAATTAATATAATACAAGCGAGAAAACGGACAAAAAGATAGAGAAAAGTCCATACCCGAAACCCTCCCCCCGCCATTTTTAATACCTGAGCAATTCTAGGGAATTCTTCATCATCTTGTGCTAAAGTATCCGTCAGAACTCTTTGATGCAAGACGCGCATTAATGTGCGATTCCAATATCACTTTCTATACTTAATCTTTCATTGATCATGAAGTCGTTCAGACAAGGTCATTATTGATTAACAAACACTTTTTCAAATTACCATACGTAATCCTTGCCAGTGTTTTTCCTGGCATGAAAGCTTATGAAAGCCAGTGCCCATGAACACTTCGTTCGCATACCTGTAATAATTACTGGCAGGAAGATCAGTAGAAATGCACTCACTACTATGGTATCCCTAACACTGCCTGGAAGAGACCCAGGGCCGACCTCGCAAACCCTGGTTGCGCCAGCTAGAAGTTGGCCACAAGACACGAGCGCAACAGCTGTGGCAGTCTGCATCTGATCGCTCGGTACGTCCGGGCGGCCCAAAGTCCCCATGATGGATTGGGAGAATGATGATGACGGTAGCCCGACACAAAAATTGTTAATGTGGATTATTGGTGGGCCTAGAAGGCCAGCATACAGTCCTCTTTGCTGACTGACTGACTGACTCCCCGACTGGCTCTCGACTGACTGACTGACTCCCCGACTCCCCGACTCCCCCGACTCCCCGACTGACTGACTGACTGACTGACTGACTGACTGACTGACTCCCCGTCAACTTGTGAATTAGACTTCCTTCAGTATCACCCCTTCCACAACGTTGACTCGGATGACCTCTTCAATGGACACAATAAGTCAGGGACCAGCTTTACTAGGCTTTTTTCTTTTCCTTCTTTGCATTTTTTTGGCAAGGCTTGTTGTTTTTCAACGGCACCGCATCCCTCACATTACACACTTTTACAGCATATAATTATTGTCTCAACATCAAAATGAACCAGAGGTTTGATGTTTTTGTTTTTGTGACAAACGCAGCAGGGTGATAGGGGCTCGAAAGTTTTTCATTGGTCATAGTCCTTTTCGGTTGTAAAAATTGGTTATGCAAAAACAGGAACGCAAATTATTGATCTTAAAACCCCTTTCCGATTTAACAACTTCTTCATTTAAACAACACATTCCTTGGGATCGATATATTTCATTTTACATATTATTTACACGGGACTTCCGGTTTGATGACGTCATCAGTTTTATATGTGCTATAGAATACTGATTCGGTTTAGAACGGTTACATAATTCAAAATAAAATGAAATGAACGTATCGAAATATTAAAATACAAGAACGTTTAAAAATGTGTACAATTTGTTATAGAGGTAAATTCCGGTTTGATGACGTGACAGCATTAGGATGCCTGATGTTATTTTGGGCAACGCTAATCGCGAATGGGTACTAATCGCAAATGGGTACCGAATAGTGAAAGTTATTATTTATCTGACATCAAATGATATCCAAATAAAAGAACAATTTTCGATTCAATGTGTCTGGTGTGTTTGCTTTTCAAAATACAATATAAAATAATTTACAGTGTTTTTTTTTTTAAATAGACTAGTGGACTTTGTAAACATTGTTACATTGATACAAATTTAACTTGACCTTGGGGACGAAGTGCCGGCTTGCTCGTTGAAACCAAATATGCCCTCAGACACACACGGATAATCTTACCTAATTACCAGATGTGTATTCACTGAAGTAATTGTATATATTTAATTACCTTTCATTCTGTGAAGTGTTTGTTTTCGAATTGTTGGAATGCGACTCTTTTTGTGCGGATAAAGATGACGTATAACGCGCGTAAAAAGGAAAGGAAAACTCCGATAGATAGCCTTCAAGAGGATGAGCCTGGTAGCCAGGGAAAATTTCATCAATTTTCCGAGGGCATAGGCTGGTTTCCGCCGCATCTAGTTTGTACTAATAATTGTGCATTTCCAATTAAGCGGAACGTGCGTGCCAGGTTGTTCAACATGTCACTTTCAGACAGATTATTTATAGGCATATAGATGTACGTGACCGTAATTCAATGCAATTGAAGCTGGCAGAGTCATAAACAACTGAACACACGTGTTACTTTCACCAAACAAGCGAAATTAGATAGCCCATAGGGAATTTACAAATATAATTATTTTCATCACAATTGTCTTTCTCTAAGCACTTTTTATCCTATATTTCATCCGTAAAATATATTGTTCATATTATTTATACATCCTGGGTTAAATTAAGAATTGGTTCTTAATGCCTGAGAGTTGCGATATTATGGTGATGCAAAGTTTACCAGTACAAACTCATTTCATTCTTCTTCTTTTTTTAATAGATTTTGGAAAAATAGCTTTCGTTTTAAACAAATTAACATTTTAATTAAACCTTTATTCGCATCAACTCACCAAGTTCATCATCATTTATATGTGTATTTGTTTTTGTTCATTTGGCCCATTAATGCGATCATTATGGAAGAACATTGAAGGCTGATTTATTGACATTTTGGAGACAATTTCTTCGTCGTTCACTGAGAAATATTGCCATCAAAATAGCCGAGAGGAAATTGTCAAGAAACCCAAATTGTAGCTTGAAGCCTGAAAATGTCAAAATGCACATATGAAATTATTATTTCATTGTTCATTTACATGCCTGTGGATCGACCACGTTGTAGCCGCGTCCTTCGCAATTCAGCTTCTCAGCTGCGAGTACGGATGATTAGCCTCCCAAATTATTATTATAATTATTTCTGCAGCACCACCAATGAAACGCCTACAAAATCCATTGCACAGAACTCCAGTTGCCAAATACCTGTTTTAACACGAAATGTCCATGAGCGCATGGCCAATAAACGCAGCGTGCTGTTATTGGTTTAATTGCATCACGTGGTCACGACGTCACGACATCTGCATCAAGCAGCACGAGTAGATGCTATGTAAGGTCTCCCTTGAGGCTGAATCCACTCACATCGTTGGAATTCATCGAACGATAATCAGCTAGTCATCTTCCATACCGTGCTGACTTGAAGAAAACCACCCTCTCCACGATACGACATGTCTGCTTTTACCTGGCTGTGTGTGTTTCTGTTGGTTGGGTTGCTGAACGCGCCCATCAAAGGCAACATCCCGCCAGCCGGCGGGGAGGTAGAAGGTTTGTAACAGCCTTGAAGGGGTGCTTTTCTATGTTTTTGCATTTTCCCCTGGACAATACTTTTACGTTTCTGCCTGGTCAAAATCTGTCAAAAAGTTAAATTTTCATTGAACGCTGACAAACAGCCCAGTGCAACCCTACATAGAAGTATTTTGTACAATACAAAAACAATTTGCCGATGTTTTTTTTTTTTTGAGTTTCACTATGGGCATATGGGGAAATGGGAAAAATTGGGAAATGTCACTAAAAAAAATAAATTAGTGAAAATGTATTGGACCAATATTGAAAAAAAAAAATGTTAATTTAAATATTTGGTCATATGAAGGACCCAGGCGAAACAGTTTGGCACATATTGGTATATACATGTACGTATCTTATACTAAGACTAAAACCAAAAGAAAAATGATCACTGTATTTTGTTTTCTTTCTTGAAGATCACAAAGAGGAGTCCCGTGGCATTGCATATCACCCAGGTAATACGACAATTGCATGGTCATATATTATCTTTCCAAAGTGGCGGATCCGGAATTTTCCAAAAGGGGGTTGGCTGGGGTGTCGAATTCCAATATTTGCTCATTTGGAGGCGGGGTGGCGGATGTATTGCAGTCAACGCATAACAAGACCAAAAGGCGTGAATGCTAGCACATAATTAACGTTTTTGTGAAACTGAGCGATGACACATCTGGGGTTTCTTTATCATATTGTAAAGAATAAAATCTTGTAATTTGAAGGGGCTGGGTTATCATCCCAATGAACCCCATTGGGTGCGTCTTTAGTAATTCAGTAATTGTTTTATAATAATACAAAATAAGTAATAATGTGTGTCGCTGATATAGCGCTTTCCGCCAAAGTTATAAGTCTCATAAAAGCGCTTCATTATTATCGTAGTCATCTACAAGTCTTGTTAGCCCTCGGCATGTATCCATGTGACTGCACACTGGAATCACTTGGTATAATTTTGATATTAGGAAAGTCTTCATCTGCGAACAGTATCTGATTTTTGGTATTGATTGTTCCCCGACAGCGGTTGATGAGATAGTGGAACTGGGAGAAGAGCTTGGGGAGTGTTTGATGTACAAGGACAAAGATTGTCTCTTGAGTATGTACGCTGATGATGTACTTGTAGTACCGGATGGCCACGCAGCATACGAAGGAATTGAGAGTAAGACCATTATAAGTTGTAATAGCTCAAAATACTTATAAATTTGATTTGATCTGATTTCCGTGCTGATGGGGGATGGGCTATTGATTCATCCACAACACTTTTCGTGATAGGAAAAATCCGGATTTTGAGGTATTTTTCGAACATCCCAACATCCCAACAACCCAAATGTATTCAATAGCATTGAAAAGTGGAGAAACAAAGTACAAGGGCTTTTAAAATGCGCTGTTTTGATGTAAGCGCGAATATACATATTGATATAGGCTACGTCTATCCTGAGCGCACCCTAATGTAATGTGGTGTCCAGCCCCCCCCCCCCCCCCAAACTCGCCGGCACAGATTTACGCCACTGGACAGGTCTGACAGGTTTACGAATTTAAATGGTAACATGATGTGTATTATTGTTAGTGACTGAATCTGAATATATAATATAATTCTGGCATCCATCTTTATAGAAATGCTCAGTTTCCGGTTATCACGTTTACATCTGTTCCGGACCATTACGTCCGTTTATTCCATAATGTCCGACGGCTGATTTTGACCAAGACACAAATGTCTTGTGCCTTGGTATTTTAGTATCAGGTATTTGAGAAAACACGTAAACAAGTCTAGAAATTACGTGCAATTTTGTCATCCACTGTCATGATGCTTTACGAATGTCGAAAAGGTTTATTAAAAGGAGAGTTGAAACCACCTGTTTAATTGTATCAATAATTTCAGATGTGGAGCAAAACCTTGGGTGGCTGGAGTATGTTGACGTGATCAAGCATCCGGCCGAGCACATTGAACCATTGGGACCCAGCGGGGATTACGTACTTGAAGTGCATGCTCAAGACAGTATACTACCGGATGGAAGCCACAAGAAGGGAAAGTAAGTCAAAGTGAAGTCACATTTATCGAAACCTTGATAAAAAATATATATAAGATTTAATCTAATAGCTAACACGGAGGTGATTAATGACTTGTTTGTGTTTGAAAAGTAAATGAACCTTAGATAGCATGCAACATCAAAGGACAATATCACTTTAAAATTCGACTCCGCTACGACATAGTTGTGCAATGGTGCACGTACGGTGCTTCTATGAGTTTGGAAAGTGACTTGTGTATGAGTGTGAGTCCCCGGATGGAATTAAGCGTGGGCGATTTTTTTTCTCTCTAAACAACATCTGCATAACATGGTTGTTGAGCGCCCTCTACGACCCTGTTATGATACTTACGCAGGTATGATATTATTACCATGAATTTCAAGGACTTGTTGAGCAGCTCGATAGCTCATTCGGTAGATTCATGGGTTCAAAACATCATTTTACTCATTTTTTTCCTTCTTTTCTTTTCTGAGGCTTTGGATAATTTTTATTTAAAAAGGAAATAATCCGAATTTCATTACGTTCGAATTAGGTTTTTTTCTTCGTATTTAATTTTTGTTCATGTTTTTAAGAGAAGTAAAGTCCAAAACGTCATAGTTTACACCATATGCGGATGTCGTTTGGTGAAAAAAAAATCGTGGGCGGGGAGGGGGGGGGGCACGTCACTTGACCAAGCGGTACATACATCCCAGAGCTGGGTAGAGTGATCAAGTGAGGGTGATGCATTGTGCTATATAAAACTGTCGGTGATTAGCCACGTGGTTGTTCACGTGATCAGAGGAGAAAGATCAGCATACCTATAAAAACATAAACGGTTTTTGATGTTATTTATCCGTGTCCACAGGACTACTCTTATTTGGAAGCGAATTGATGGGGAGTTCTACGTCATCTTTCAGATGAGCAACGACGAATACTAAGGAAACATGTCTGTCCACGGAGCAACGGCATAGCTACGGGGAGGGAGGGCGTAGGGGAAGGGGGGCACGCTCCTACTTATTTCCCATAATTACCTTTTTCACGTTTTGTTTCACGAAAACACAGTTTTTCGCGATTGGCTGTTGGTGTTATCGTCCCATGGAAAGCAAACAACGACCTCTCGGGAGTTGTGGACCCCATTGTCCTCTATTTTTCAACGTCCCCTATATGCAGAAACAAACTCACGCACACACGTTTGTTTATGGCGTCTTTGTTTATACTCTTAACTTTTTTGTGCAACAGATCTCATTGGTTTTGTACACGTGGTTCCTGTCCTCGATTCCTGTCCTCGATTTATCGATGATGTTGCACGTGTGTGTCCTCGATTTACACCATAAACAAACGCATGCACGCACACACACACATGATGAAATTGGGCGCCCCTCTGTAACTGTACCATCCAGCCCGCCCCCCCCCCTCCCCCGCCCCCGCAGGATAATAGAACCCTGCAGGCTACGCCGCTGGTCCAGAGTGAACCTTCAAATTAAGACAACATTTACAAAAGTGTTATTCTATCCAAATTCATTAGTTAGCTTTTAGCAAATAATCTTTCAAGTTTTCGTGTTTACAATCTATGGTGTACACATGTTGACGTTACATAACTAGTGTGGATATTCCTTTGTTTTCGTGTAGTTAAGAAAAACCTCAGTAAAAAAAAAAATCGTTTTACTCAAATTGTGAAATCTCCTTCGACCCAAATTGTTTTTTTTATGATTCCCTTGAATGCTTCTCTTCATTTTGCGACGGATAATTAACCCTTACCCCAAAAGCCTCTAAACCTGTTTTCCAGAGAGGGGGATAAACCTTGTGTGGACGTGGGCAAGTTCACACAAGTCCATGCATACGGTGGTACACGTGCTTTCCTATTGCAACATGTTCCTCTGGGCGGCTATAGGGCCTGCTTGTGATCACACGTCATGCCATTACCTTTTCATGATACCCAACTTCACCAAAAAAGACATATTGTTGGTTCAGTTAAACATTATGACGTTTCTTTAATTTTTTTTTCTTTTGTAGCTCTTTGAAAAAATATTAGCATGACGTCACACTTCAAAAAACAAAATTGTAGAATCAAAATGTAACTGAAAGTAATTCGATCTTAGTCACGTGGTCATTGTGGGTGGAGTCTTCAAGCATGTTTCGCTTCGCATCAAATTCTTTGTATTCCACATGAAAGCGATTAATCGTCAATAACAAATGTTCAATTAGGCCTATTGGTTTAAAACTATTAGGAAAGGACTTTTCTCTCTACCACTACTGTGTTATTTCCATACGTGTGTATTGAATAATGTTCGGATGCTTGCAGACGTTATGAAAATCCCAAAAAGGGAGAAATTCAAAAGGGCCATGGCTTAATAAAATAATTACATGAGATACCATTGACTGATTGTATGCATGTATTTTTAATTTTTACTTCAATTCACAATGAATAAACACGCCCTCTCCTGATATTGTCTGTAGCGCCCTCTATCGATGTGTAACACCCTCTATTAATATATACCACAATCAATGAAGGCCCTATACTATTCCCCATCTATTTGTAGCAGAAGCATCACAACCGCAATAACTGGAACTATCGATATTTTATGCTTTGGTCACAAGTTCAGGGTGCAGGTCAAAATGTGTCAATCATTAGCATGAATTACGCAGTATCACGAGGAGGGTTAAGAATGATGACGTCATCGAAGCGGAAGTAACTGAAAACTTTTGCAACGATACATGGCAGGGTACTTGACATAAGGGTGCAGACCAGTAAATCCACTCCCATAGACCTCAGTGATAATTACGCGAACTTCCAAACATTTTGAAAAATACTCACAACTCTCCAAGGTTTTTGAGACAGAGATCAAATTAAAAGCTTATTTCATTAAAAGAAGATCTCCCCTAAAAGTAGTCCTGTGGCCCGTCGCCATTTTGAAAAATATTGACTGTGCTCCATTGCAAAATAGAGCAATTGTATAGAGTCAAATTTCATCCGAATTTCACAGAAATACATCAAGCGCACAGCCCTGTGCACGGCTTCCACCAGTATTTCTTTAAAAACCTTCAAATTCTTGGTCCACAAAATACTTTAAAAGCAACACAAAAACAACAACAATTGAGGGCATACAATAAATAACTCTAAAATGAAAAATACATATATAAGGAATGGACTTTTTGTTTGTTTCTAAAGTTATGTTTTTTTCCCAATCATCTATATTGAATGTCTGGAGGCTTGCACACGTTTTGAAATCCCACAAGTGAGAAATTCAAACCGGTTTATTAAAATACATGTAATTACATGAGATACTTTTCACTTCTGGCATTGTTAAATTTGTTTGCCTTTTCTTTAATTATGATAATGGTAATCACGCCCTCTCCTGATCAGAACCGTTTATAGAGATAGTTAACATATTATGTATAATTCGTACACAATAGTCGCACGCTGCACTGTACACATAATGAACGGCCATCATGGTTCAACAGTCTGAAGTTGTCGCAACTCTCTCTATGGTTGCAGACCAGTAAATAAACTTCCATTGACCCTAATGATAAAAACTCTCACTTCAGAAATTCGGGAAAAATACTCACAACTCTCCAAGGTGTTCGAGACACACATCAAATTAAAGCTTATTTCATCATCTTTCATTTACTTTTCAATTTTTGGGGGGTCAACGGATGACTTTTAGGAGAAATTTCCATTGCATTGTATTTGCCTGCGATCGGGGACCCCTGTTGTCCCTCTTTTGTTTGTACTTCTTAGGAAGACCTCCGATATGCTTTGTACACGAAACCAAATTGGCGGGTCTTCTCGGGAATTTGGGACCCTAGTGTTCAACGTCCCCTATGGAATGGAGAAACAAACCTACGCACACAAATTATCTTTCTGCTGCCAAAAATATTTGGCATTTATCTCTTCTTCTTTTTTAGAAAAGATTCACACTTCTAAAAAAAAATGGGAAAAAAATGTGAGCCCCAACCAAATCCTGGGTGCGCCACTTATTCCGATGGGATTCCCCATTGATACCAAATATTGAATCCTGCATACAAGTCTGGCACCTTGACTGTCCCCAACTCCTTCAGGCAATATGGCTCATTATGCTATGCACAGGGGCTGGGAAGGCAGCCTGCAGGAACAATAAGACACAAGACTAACTTATGAAAGGACATGTGAATTACTTTTTTATCTGTACGTTTGGTGGACTTCGCTAAGCCACTGTGTAAGTGAGGTAGGTTTTTTTTAACTAACAGTTGACACGTGGTTGAGTTTAGTTTTGATTCCGACAGCAAATACGAAAACTATAGAAATATACGGACAGAAATGTGCCAACTTTTTAATACTCACTTCGAAAGAAGATGAGGCGATGTGCATTTATTGAGAAGCCCTTTTTGAGACACATGCCTGGACTTTGTCTATAATGTAAATTATGGATACCAATTTCACTTGTCGCCGTCTTGCTTGTGCGTGTGGACACACACGGATAATCTTACTTAAGTACCAGATGTGTATTGAATGGAGTAAAAACTAATTGTTGTTTAATTATTTTCTCATTCTGTTAAGTGTTTGTTTTCGAAATGCGACTCTTTCTGGAGGACATAGATGATGCATTTACCTCACGTCCGACCTTCGCTTGTCGATTTAACATATTTCAACAGAAATATTGAAAACTCTGCTATTACAACAGAATTATTTAAAACTCTGCTCTGCTCAAAACAATACTGTTCAGACGGTTTTTAAAAGCTTATAATAACAAACTTAACTATTGGAAGAAGAGATGGGTTGTACATCGAAGTTTGCCAAATAAATTTACCTGTTCAGTGTATTCCTTTTTTAATGAAAAAATCTTGAACCCCCAAATTGAATTTTTTTTTTGATAGCTTGCAGCCAGTAACAGGGGAAAATTGTAACTTGAATGTTTCCCCCGATACATATTTAATCTAGCATTTCAACTAGATTTCAGATCTAGCTATTGTTCAACGTCCCCTGTAGAATGGAGAAACATACCTACGCACACAAAATTATCTATCTGCTGCCAAAAACATTTGGGATTTTTTTTTTAGAAAAGATTCACGCTTCAAAAAAAATGGAGAAAAACAATGTGAGCCCCAACCAAATCCTGGTTGCGCCACTTATTCCGATGGGACCCCCAATTGATACCAAATAAATTGAATCCTACATACAAATCTGGCACCTTGACTGTCCCCAACTCCTTCAGGCAATATGGTTCATTATGCTGTGCACAGGGGCGTGGAAGGCAGCCTGCAGGAACATTAAGACACAAGACTGACTTATGAAAGGACATGTGAAATACTTTTTTATCTGTACGTTTAGTGGACTTCGCTAAGCCACTGTGTAAGTGAGGTGTTTTTTTTTAAACTAACAGTTGACACGTGGTTGAGGTTAGTTTTGATTCCGACAGCAAATACGAAAACTATAGAAATATACGGACAGAAATGTGCCAACTTTTTAAAACTCACTTCGAAAGAAGATGAGGAGATGTGCATTTATTGAGAAACCCTTTTTGAGACACATGCCTGGACTTTGTCTATAATGTAAATTATGGATACCAATTTCACTTGTCGCCGTCTTGCTTGTGCGTGTGGACACACATGGATAATCTTACTGGGCGGAACGTGCGTGCTAATTTGTTCAACAGGTCACTTTCAGACAAATAGTGAGGAGGCGTATATATGTGCGTGACAGTAATTCAATGCGATAGAAGCAACAACTGAAAATTAGTTTTATTTTCAATGATTACAAGGATAGGGGGAATTTAGTATCTAGAAAAATAATTATTTTATCACATTTCTTCATTCCATAATCACGTTTTATCCTATTCTATCTGTAAATAAAGTTGATCTTATTATAGGCCTTTTTATACGCCCTTGGTTAAAATAAGTATTGTTTCTTACTATATAAAAGTTGCGATATTCTTGGGGTTTTTTTTTTCATTAAAAAGCTGATGCAAAGTTTACTCATACAAACCCATTTCAAATTATTTTAATAGATTTTGAAAAAACAATATTTTGTTGTTTAAAACAAATTCATATTTTCGAATCAGCAATTTGGTTAATTTCAACGCACAATTTCACCTGTTAGTTTCTAAGCATTAAACTTTTAAAATT